CGGTCCAATGTGCATGGAAGTTGTAAAATTTCAATTCTCTTTTCCGTTTTGGAGTTTCCGAAAAAGCTTAAATTATGGAGCAAGTTGTTTCACTATATATATTGAGTTTTGGTACTAACCCTAGAAGTACAAGAGGTGTGAGATCATTATGCCTACACAAGAGAGAGATTAAGAGGAAATTCTCTATTGTAATCTTCATCTTTTTCATAGTGAAATTGTCCCGTGCGGTCTATGGACGTAGCTATTGTAGAGCATCTAGTTGTTTCACAACGTATAACTAGAAGAGCCCATCCGGATCAAGATGGACAATGAATATATACATATGTATACATATATACATATGTATATATTCATTGTCCATCTTGATCCGGATGGGCCCTTATATATATGAGTGAATATATAACAGTACCCAACAATTTAAAATTTTGAAATATACATATGTATATATGTATACATATGTATATATTCATTGTCCATCTTGATCCGGATGGGCCCTTATATATATGAGTGAATATATAACAGTACCCAACAATTTAAAATTTTGAATCATAAGGCAAGCCTGGAGCAAAAATAGAACATAATTGTTATGAATCCAAGTGAAGCTTTATGAGCTCATAATATAGTGAGTTAACATGTTCATTCAAATAATCTAAATTCCCAAACATAATTATTATGAGTCCAATTGATGTTTTATGAGCTCATAACATACGCGAGTTGACTTAAAAATGAACAAATGAACAAGTTCAAATAATCTAAATCTAAACTTGGTTCCATTTATTTACCACGGTAATGATAAAGAAAGTGAAGTTCCATTTATTTACAATTGTAATAATGAAGAGAATAAAAATGTTTTTTTTTTTTTTTTTACTTGTCACTTTTTTCTTTTCTTTTTTGGTAAGTCAGTATATATTAACCAAAAAAAAAAGATGTACAGGGCTACCCAACTAGCCCAAGAAGGCAAAAACAGCCTACAGGCAGCAAAGCAAAAAACAGGCCAAAGCAAAGATCTCACTCAAGACCAACCCAAGCGGCCCAAAGCCAACAAAAAAACACCTTCCCTCCCTCACGCTCAGAAATAATAAATCAAAACAAAAAAGGAAGACCACCAGAGATCAACATCACTCAGATGTAACCTCGGCGCTACTGATCAAACTAGGGATTCCCCATTCAGCAGCGATAACTCTCAAGCTGGTGGAGTCCTTTTCCTTGATAAAGAGGAGACGAGAATGAACACAATCCTCGATGAACTTCCAAACAGCTTGAGAGGGGGGTTTGAGTCCAAATACAGGTACGATTGTTCCTTTCTTTCCATATAAAATATATAGTAACAGAGCAGCATAGTTTGATTGTGATGGCCTCAATCGATTTACATTCAGCATTCCAAACCATTGTCCCATGAAGAGAAAGCTTCGATCACCACAATACGCACCACACTTGTGCTGAACATAATCCCAAATAGAGGAGGAAAATCTGCATTTAAAGAATAAGTGCTCATGGGTCTCTATCTCTTCCATACAAAGAGAGCAGAGGTTATGGTTATCCCATGTCAACCAAAAGCTCCTATCTCTAGTATAGAGTCTGCAGTTTAGAGCAAGCCATGTAATGAAAGCATGCCTAGAGATATATTTGGGGAACCAGATAATATGGTTCCATATAGAAAGAGGAGCTTGTGGTAGGAGGGCATTGTAAGTGTGCTTCAAATTGAACTTCCCTGTAGGAGAAAGAGTCCACACTGCCCTGTCATTGTTGTTGCCATTAATAGGGGGGATGGTTTCATTAACACCAATAATATTCCTGAAGTGGTTTGGGATTCTCCATTGCCTATGCCTGATCAAACAGTTGACGTTGGATTTGTTATCCCATAGGTGATTAGAGATGGTTGCAAAATCCACTCTATTCTCAATAGGTCCTGAGGGAAGCTAGTAATCAAACCATAGGGAAATGTCCATGCCATCCCCTACATGGTGTTTGATAAAAGGCCTAGCCATGCCCCTAAGCTTGAGCAATCTTCTCCAGTTACAAGAGCTAAGTTAGCTAGCCTTAATTTTCCAAAAGCTACCATCCTTGACTAAGTTAGAGTGAAGGATTGGCCATTATCATAAAAAAAAGATTTCAAATGTGCTTGAGAATTGAGATCCTATTAAGGGCAGTAATGTTAGGAAGGCCAAGACCACCATAGTTTTTAGGCTTGCACACTGCATACCAGTTAATCTTTGCTTTAGTGCATGTCCTTCATCTCTTTGCCAGTCCAAAGGAAATTCTTTAGAACACAATTGATTTATTTAGTCACCTGAAGAGGAAGCACAAAGAGGTTGCCCTAATAGGCATGGATGTTGATGAGAATTGATCTAATAGAAAGTAATCTTCCAGCTGGAGATTCTTGAAATGATCCTTTCAACCAAGGTTCTACAATCAATAGCAAGAAGCCTAGTTGTAGAGAGGGGAACACCAAGGTATCTAAAAGGGAAGTGCCCAATCTCAAACCCAGAAGCTGTGATCATACCACTCTCTGTCTCCAAAGGTATACCAGCTGTAAATATGTTGCTCTTGTTCAAGTTAGGCTTGAGCCCAGATAAACTGGAGAACTTATGAATACAATTAAGTAGAATCTTAAGAGGTGTGGATCACCATTATAGAAAAGTATAAGGTCATCAGCAAAACACAAGTGAGAGATCTGGTTACTTTTACATCTCCAATTGTATTTGAATTGGGGGTCCTCAGCAATGGCTTTGCTGATAATAGATGAAAGGACATCTATCATAATCACAAAAAGGAAAGGTGGTAGTGGATCCCCTGAACCTTTGAAGAGACCCTCAAGTTCTCCATTGATGGAGACTGAGAAAGCAGTGGAAGTGATGCAGGTATAAACCCACTAAATGAAATTTGATGGAAAACAGAGAATCCTTAGGCAATCAATTAAGAACTCCCAACAGACAGTGTCATAAGCCTTATGAAGGTCAATCTTAAGAGTACATCCAGGAGTAGAAGTATTTGAGTTGTACCTCTTCATGAGTTCCTGTACAATAAAAACTCCATCTCCAATCCTCGTATGCTTTAAAAAAGCTTTTTGGTATTTACCAACAATGTGGGAAAGGATAAACTGTAATTTTTTTGCAATAATCTTTGAGATGACTTTATATATGGTGTTACAACAAGAGATTGGTCTAAAGTCCTACATAGAGGTTGGGTTAGGAACCTTGGGCGTCAAGGTGATACAAGTAGAATTGATCTCCCTCATAAGTTGCCCATTCACAAAAAAAATCCCTGACAGGCAAGTAAATGTCATTGCCAATCACAGGCTAAACCTTCTTAAAGAAAAGGGCATTATACCCATAAGGACCAGGAGCTTTTTTATTACTTAGAGCAAAGAAACACTCTCTAATTTCCTCGAGGGAATGAATACCAGTGAGAGTGTCAATGATATTTGTAGGTAAAGCCTTGTTAAACACCTCTCTGAGATTGTCAATACCTAGAGAAGTGTGGGTTTGGCCTCCAAGAATATTCTGGAAGTGGTTGACAGCCTCACTCTTGATAGTTGGGAGAGATTCAGTGGTTTCCCATTTGCCAATTGGAGCTTTGTAATCTTTTTTCTATTGCATCTGGCATTAAAGGATCTCATAAAGTAACTTGTGTTTTTATCTCCCTCCTCGAACCATTTAATCCTAGATTTCTACAGGTAGAATTGTTCTTCAGCCAGGGAAAGGTCATGAAACTTTTGAAAGAGAGCTTGTTCATCAGTCCTAAGTTGCACATTGACGTAATGCACTAGGACAATATCACATATATTTTTTTCTATGTCATCCTATTCCTGAGTCACTTTCCCACCATTCATATTGATTTCCTTCTCAAACCGCACCACTAAATCTAAATCTTGATTATGATAATGATGATCACACGTTAAAGGGTTAGTGCTCTAAAATCATCTGGGTATGTGGTAAGTCCATTAACATTTTTATTCAATGTGGTTTTAAATTAAAATGCCACATAAAAGTTTTAATCAAAAGTAGGTGAATCTTTTTTAAATGGTCTTGGGGCATAACAATTAATAATGGACACGTTTTAAGTTTGCATAGGAGTAAAGTGTGTATATGTTTATTATCTGTTAGGGAAAAAAAAAAAAAAAAAAAACGGAATTAAGTTATGAGCATGTTTTTTTTTTGGAAACAGAAAATAAATTTTAAAGAATTAAAAAAGGACTAGTATTTGACATATTTTCAACTCTGTTTCAATACCCGTTTTTAAAGAATGGTTACCTAAAACAAGTTTTAAAACTGTATTCTAGTTTTAATTAGCTGAAACAAATATTATATGAGAACTAAACCGTGAACCCCATTTTAATGAGCTAGTCATTGTACAAATTTTTTTTAATTTTTTTTTTAAAGTTCAAGCAAACTCTCACATGCTAATAATATTGTCGGCTACAGATGATATGATCAAATTTATTGACAAATGAAAAAAAAAAAAAAAAAAAATTATATATATATATATATATGTTAGGTGAAACAAATATTATATGAGAACTAAACCACTCACAGTCGAGCAATAATATAGTTGACTATTAATCTGTGACACATGCTAATAATATTGTCTTTGATAAGGCTACAGATGATATGATAAAATTTATTGACAAATGAAAAAAAAAAATGAAAAATATGTTATCTTACAATTTATTGACAAATGAAGAAAAATAAAAATGTTATTAGATGGACGTAATCAATAGGCAACTTGGTAATTAACTTTTTCAAATTGCAAGAGTTTTGATTAGAATGGAACAGGTACATGATGTATTGATCATAATTATCTAATAATTTCCTGAGCAAGCAACCTACAAATGGTCAATTTATTAGACCAGTCACACAGTCCTAGCCCATCCTAAATTAATATTTTCCCCTTATTGTTTCAAGACGGTTCCACGCATATATATATATATATATATAAACTAAGAAGTCAAAGATAACATCAAATATAGGTAGATATGTTTTATGCACAATCATTAGATATGTTAAAAAAGAAATCCACATATATTTGTACATAGAGAAAAGGAGTACCAAAACAAGTACTAATACACAAAAGTACTTATTTTATTTATATATTTATTGTTTTTCACACACTACTAGGTTAAAACGGTTACCCTTTTTCAAACTCGAGTTCATAACATAACTACAAATCAAACAAGTCTTAATTAACTCTTTAATAATTCATGAACTTATTAAAAATAAACACCATCATGTTCATCTCCTCTGAATATTACAAAAAAATATATATAAAATAAAAAATTAAAAAAAAAAAGATGTATATATAATGTTCATCTCCTTTCCTTCTAATTACAAAAACAAAACAAAAAAGTATACATATATTTTTTTTGGTATAAGATGTACTTTTTTCCTCTTCAACTACCTTGAAAAGTTCATGACAGACTTTGAAGGAGTGATCTTGATGACAAGTCCAGGGAAAACATCATCCGGGTCATGGATATGCGGGTTCTCCTCGACGATAAACGGGTCGCCGCACTTGTCGCTGATGGTATGGAGGGTTTCGCCTTCTCCGACGACATAAATTTCGTCGCAAGGCCGATCCCAGAACTGGTTTCCTCCTCTCACATGCAGAGCTGAAGATTCATTTGGAGAAGGATGATCATCTTTGATGGAGCCTAACAAGATGAGAGCTAACAAAACAATAGCACAGTACCATGAAGCTGCATCGGCTATGGCCACTGATGCTTCTATGAACTTGGTTTTGGAGCTTTGGGTTTTGGAGAGAGAAGCCATATTGCACACGACAGAGAGATTGTGTTTTCATAATATAGGGGGACTATATATATATATATATATTGGTCAGATAGGTGTTTTTGGTTTAACGTCTTTCTTTTAGTGTTACCTGAGTCACTTTGCCTCTTTGCCAAATTACCAAAAAGGACTACCCCGTATTTCTTAATGTACAATTTAACTACCTCATTGTTAATAATTTTGGGGTCTATGAAATGACATTAATTTATGTTAAACTTTTAATATTTTTTTTTAGTTAGTGCTCACATACACATATTTTTACTAAGATTTAAATTCTTGACTTTCTTTTAAAAAATAAGAGCCTAACACCGTTAAACCATACATATTGATAACTTCTAACATTTTGAAATCTATATATATATTTTTATTTTTTTTATTTTTTAAAAATAGAGAACCCTTTTATAGGGTTGCCAGTAATTGTTTATTCATTTTAGGTTCTTAGAGAGTCAGTTGCGATTTGTCTCAGTAAAATCTCCTCAAATTTTATTTTATTTCATTTTATTTAAAAAGTAAATCACCTATTGCTCGTAATGGAAACGCCATAAATGTATAGAAGAGGTTTCTAGAAAATTTGGTAATTATGAAGAAGTCTTAAGTTAACAAAAGTCAACAAGCAATAATTTTTATACTGTTCTTTTGGGTAGGCAAACCACCCCAGCCTTAGATACAATATATGGAGACAAAAAGGAGTAGGCAGGCATTTAGAAACGACCCATTTTGCCATTAATGTTATCTGCTACTCTCGTTTGGAGTTGTGAACTTAAAACACATACACACACACTCTCTCTCTCTCTCTCTCAATATATATATTATCATCTTTGTCCTTAACCATGAACAACTCTTAACATGACACAATTCAAACTATGATGACAAAAAATAAAATAAAAAAATTCAAAATGAAACAAATTTTTATTATTTTTAAAGTGAAGTAGGATGGCTAAGCTCATCAAACCTATTGAATTTTTTGTCTGTTTGGGGACATGGTCAACGACCAACTATATATATATATATATATATTCTGATGTGTATACTTACCTTATTATAATTACTATCTCAGTCTCGTAATAAGTGCCAATTTGAAAATTTTTGACTCATTATTATTTTTTATTTTTGAAACATTTAATGTTATTTTTAATTATATTTCATTAATATACTTATATAGTATTTCTATTTCATACTAGATGTCTATTTGGATAATTTTGACTCACAAAAATTGTGAGTCAAAATTTTTGGAATTGACAACTAATATGGGATGAAGTGAGTATTTAATTAAATCTAGATTGTTGAAAAAAAAAAAAAAAAAAATTAGCTCTAGATAAAATTAATCGTCCTAGCTTGAGATAGTCTCTCAAACATGACCATTTGTTAAATTATTTAATTTAATTCCTGATATAGTGTTCTTGGACAATATCTCACAAATAGTTATAAAGTTTTCATGTAACCTATTTAGTTCAACAAACTAGCATATTGTAACAAGGTTTTACAGGTTATACTGTTAGGGGAAAAAAAAAGTGTTTGAAAGGTGTCTGTGTTTTTATATTTTGTAATTATTAATTAGAATGTTAGATATATATCTTCCAAAATATAATTTTCAACCCTTATTATTCCACAATCTTGCCCAATATTACCAAGCATACCTTTAAATTCAAGCTTCGCTAATAAATATAGTATTTTACTTATAAAACATACGCATGACAAACCTTTACGAGATCATATTCAAAGTGAAATTAAATAAGAGACAATGATCGATTATGATGATAAAATCTATGTTACTAATTTAACTTGGCTTAATGATAATTAGCCGCCTTCAATCATGAAGACACGTCCAACTTTGAATGCATTAAATATATTCCTTGTATATATGTTTTTTTTAATGTTAAGACTATATATATATATATATATATAGATATAGATATATATGAATTATAAAAAGTAATTTAGAAATCAAATGTATTCGACTATTTTATGTTAGTGGATGTGACGTTATTATTAATTTCTTACTTAAATTTAGTCGGATCCGAATCTCTATTATTATATATATATGTATACAATCTTACAAAATATATATATATATATATATATATATGTGTGTGTGTGTGCACAAACATAAATTACGAAGTATGTGGAAAGAGAGGGGTGGCGGGGAGGTGCGGGTGGTGTGGTTGTGGTCTTGTGGAGGCGAATTGCGTGAAGCAATTGAGCCCAACCCCACATCCCACCTTTGGACAAAACTGGTAACCATCAAATTCAACCAACCAACTAACCCAACCCCACCTCCAACCAAAACTTAAGAACACAATACGGCCATTTATATATGGGACCATATATGATATAGTAGTGTATATAACTGTCTTGAAGTTCTTGAAAGTCAACTCTTCGCATGCTAAAAAACGCCCTCTAGGACCAACTGAACCAGTCAATCAACCAAAGTCATTTTGGACAAATGAGCAATCCCAATTTTTTGTCCAGACCAATGAGAGTAACTTCCTCCTAAATACCCTTGTTACACAATGATATGATGACACGTGTATCTGAATGTTACCCGATGATATGATGACATATGTATTTGAATTTTTTTTATGAGATATTGTGAATAAATACTTTTTAACGTATTACTAATATGGTTGAATCACAAATACACACACCTTCTTTAAAAATAAAATCAAAAAAATAATAAATAAGAAAAATATTTATTTTCGATAAATCACATTTTGTATTCACTCATTTGCTTTGTTTTTCTATTAAGAGTCTTGTAATCTAGTCGTATCTCCTCCACTTTTTAAAATAAGTGGTGTGAATTCGAATTCTTAAAGGAGGAAGTGAGTGTATGTGTGGTGTGCGTATGAAAATAAATAAATAAAATCCTCTTTGTTTTCTTTATTTATTAAATTATTATCTTTCTAATTTTGTAATTGAAGACAATGTGTACATTTGTGATCGTACCATATTAGCAGCACTATTCACAAGTAGGTAAACAAATATTGGCATTTCAAATATAATTGAAGAAATTAAGACTTTTATTTATTTAGTTTTACATATTTTAAATTAAAAAATGGCACATGTTATTTTGTTATTGTATCACATCAATGATATTCTCAAATCTAAATCTACATACTTCCAAGAGAAAGAAGGAAGGATAAAAACAAGTAAAATTATTTTCGTGTAGCCGCCGTTTTATATCATGTTTTCAAATTTTAAATCATATAAAATCTAAGTCTAAAAGTAGGGATGGCAACGGGGCGGATTTGGGGTTGGTTTAGCTAAACCTTACTCTATCCTGCTAGAAAATCTGTCATACTAACTCCACTCCTATTTCGGAATGAGTTTGTAATTATTATACTATCCACACTCTTATTCCGATAGACAAAGTACCGACTCCGCCCCATGTACTCCGTTTAATTGTTAGGTGCAACGGGGATGGGTTGGGTTATGCCACTTTTATTATGTAGTAAAAAAACTAACTCCATGTGTTCAAATCGGGCTAAAAAATAAGTTGACCCAACTTTTAAATTACTAAATAATAAAAATTAATATATTAACAGATACTTCCAACAAAGTAACAAAAGTCCTAAAAATATAAAATATATTTTATTTATATATATATATATATATAATAAAAATAAAAAGAACGTATATAATTGGAGCGGATTCGGGACGGGTTTATCACTAAATCTGCACCCATCCCAAACTTGCTTTGAATTTTCAATTATTTTACTATATCGATTCTAAACCCATTTAGAGAAACACTAAATCCACCCCATTAAAGATGAGGCCGGGGCGAAAACCCACGGGACAGAAAAAATTGCCATCCCTACTAAAAGCATTAGATACACGTGAGACATAGTTTGCCATGGTTTATGCATTTCAAATTATTTTGTCATTTCAAAATTTTATTCTAAGAAAATGTTTACGCACTAGAGTAGGTGAAGAAGCACCTTTGAGCAATAAGGTCTGATTAGTGACAAATTTTATTGCTATTACCTACCCAGATATATATATATATATATATATATATATATATATATATATATATATATATGTATTGCGTATTTATATATAATTGTTTTTTTGTATCTTAATGGAAGAGGACGACAATATGAAGTAAGCTATGAAAATGATATTGTGGAGAATATATCTTGAATTGATGAACATCAACCCCATTTACTCATGTCATGGTCCATATTCCATGGTCATACAATGGTGATGTTATATATGAAAACATCTTATATGCCGAATCATGTGAGCTATGATGGGATGTGGACAACTCGTAGCCCAATGACCATTCATTTCTTAACATTCAAAGCTTTCTATTGATCAAAACAACCCATGATAACCTTGTTGACATGATAAAAGATTAATATAACGTTCTAAATGTGACTTCAAAAAGTTGTCTTAGCTTTTTTTTCTTTGAGCTACGATTTATTTGAGTCACATTCGCTGTTTCCACTTTGTAATGGCATAGTTTTCCAAATGTGGGGCGTCAGATTAACTTTATTCCCATCAACTAAAGTGACTAATAACCACCATAATCGACACTGCCATTCCATAATTTCATTATGATAATGGTGATCCTTGTTGAACTTACCCTTGAATAATACTTAAAAACTATGCAATTAATATGATCTTTATGAATAAATTCTTCTATGTGCGGTACTCACCTCAACACTACTTTATCGGAGAAAATTTATGAGCAAGGTTGTCAGAATTGGAATATAGGTAAGATCAATGGGGCTCCATAGAATCAGATCAAGAAATTCAAAAGTTCTACAAAATTAATATATAAAAACAAAAAACAATTCAAACTAATTTTTTAAATAAAAATAATTATAAAATCAATCTAAAATAAGCCCAAAATATACAATAATATATATATATATATATATATATATATATATATATAAGAGAATGTGTGAGGAGATGCCTTGATTCTCATCTTTAACTTTCTTACCAAAAAGACACTTAAATAATAATAATAATAATAAAGTCATTATTTAAGGGTTTATATT